TATGCTTGGCAGGGCTGGATATATAGTTGATGCCCACGAGTTGGTCAACAATATGCCATTCTTATGATATCAGCGAAAATAATTTTAAATAACTAATTAAGTATACATACACACACAGACATGCCACTTTGCACCGCAAGACGTTAGTTTATTATACGATAACTGAGATAACTGATGTGAGCAGAAGCTAGGGTTGGCTTGGAGAAAATGTGATTGTGGGGAAGCTTTTGTATGTTAGAGGACGAGGAGGAAGTGGGGACCTATTATGTGCTGATGGGTTGGCACATTTTGCGTGAAACTGTGCTGGCAAGCATGAACTAGTTAGAAAACAAAATGCTACAACTAGAGTGTCATTTATTGTACCTACCATTTATAATAGTAATGAGGAAATGAATAAAATTATGCTAATGAAAAAAAAAATGGTGTTTGCAAATTGCCAGGTCAAAGCTGGTGGACAGATAAAGATGGAATAGTGCATTCTTTTATAATTGGAGAAAAAAATCCTTCTTAAAAAAAACAATTAATGAAAAATGTGAAACAACACCAAGAGTGTTATGAATACGATCTGAAAATAATGTTAAATAATATTGATAGTGTTACAAAAGAGAATACACATTGTGAAATGCTAGCAATAGCATATGCTTTGTAAAAACACAACAAAAAGAAATTATTCAAATTGTGAAAAGTCTTTTGATTATCATAATGCTTGAGTAGAAACAAATTATTGTTAGTGTAGCACACTTTTATCTCTCTCCCCTTAATCCAATTGGAAAAGAGGCAAGTTTGATAAAAGAACCCCCAATAATTATTATTCAAATCTCATTCGATAATCATATGCTCTACACTCACTCACCCCCCCCATTAGAGATGTCAATATCCTCATTAATTATTGACTAACAACTCTTATTCACCCCTTCTCCCCTCAGAGATGTCAATGTCCTCATTGACTATTGACTAACAACCTCTGTTGAGCTTAAGGGAATCAACACCTTCATTTCCGCATTGAATGTACTAATCCTAACAACCTTTATCTGCTACACTCACTCCCCCCCCCTTTCAGAAATGTCAATGTCCTCATTGATTATTGACTACTAAACAGTTCCATTTCCGCACTGAATCTACCAATCCTAACAACCTCTATTCACTACACTCACCCTCCCTTCAGAAATATCAATGTCCTCATTGACTATTGACTACCAACCCCTATTATACCTAAGGGAATCAACACTTTTATTTTTGCACTAAATTTATCAATTTTAACAACCCTTCTTGAGCCTAAGGGAACCAACGTCTCCATTTTCGCACTGAATCTACTAATCTTTCCATTGTGTAGATTAACTATTTCATGTAAAGTAATTAGTCATCCACCCGTACTGTAGTCCTACGGTGGATACCTTCGTCTATGGATACTCCACCAAGAGGAAGGATGTACACATGGATGCTCAATACGTATGATTTTAAATTTAAGGGTAGAAATATATTTTATTCAAGAGTATATTATATTTTTAAGTAGCCACTAATCAATAGGAATTGAACCCATGCCATTTACTCCAATGAAAAAAGAGGGAATTGTTTGATGAAAGAATTCTTAATGGCTATTTTATCCCCATTTATCCCCTAAAGTTCTAAAGATCCATGATGACAATATATCCAAATCTAATCCCATGCTACAGTTAGAGATATTAGTAGAGTTCATATTTTTGAAAAGGGTATTCTGGTAGTTTCAGATTCATAAATTTGTTATTTAATTTTATAAGCTTACCTATTTAATTTCACACATATTAATATTTTATTATTTAGAAGTTATATATCAATTATTAATAGATTTGTTTTTCCTTTTCAATTTAAATGTCTAGTTTTTTTAACTATAGACCATATGACTAGGCTCTGGCTCATGTCTCAATAAAAATCAAGTGAAACTTGTCCTTGCCTCCTACATCTATAGGTTTACCTACAATTATTACTTGTGTCATTAACAAAAAAAACATTTGAAGTCTATTTTTTAGCATTTTAATATTACTTTTATTTTTTATTATTTTATTATTTTATAATTGAATGGTTTTATTGAAATCACTCTTGATATTCATATCTTCTAGTTCAAATGAACAGTTGGATGGTATAATGAATCACAAGCATGGTTGTCTTATTTTACAAACACATCATGCCTTGAATAAAAACACAAGTTGATCTCTATATCAGCATGTGTAATTTAATTATATCTATAAGGTTTATAAATATATGTATGTATATACATATATTACCCTAGCTAAGTAATACACTAATTATAGTGTTATAGTATATGGATCGTCCATTTGAGAATAAATCTAATCCATCCATTTTTGTATATAAGCAGGGGTTTAAACCCCAATTAATATATCTATTTTTATATCCCAAACACTCACATTAGTGGAGTTGAAAGGCATTGCAATTTGTTTCTGAAGGGCAAAGCTTTTTGGCAATGCTTTGCTCTAGTATTCAAGGTTGTGCTTTTTTTATTTTTATTTCTTCATTCTCTTTTAGATCTAGATTTGTATTAGCATTTTGCAAGATTTAGAATTCTAGCTATCATTGTGCTTAGATTTGCTCTTTCTTATGATCTTTATTGCATTCTCTTCTTTCACTATGCTACACTGTTATTGATCAAGGAGTATGTCTGTTGGATCAAACTTTTGGTGTTGTGGAGTGTAATCATATTGGTGATGTGCCCATCTTTGATGTGTTGTTGTCTCCAACTTTTATGGGATATGATTACATAATTTTTCTTGTTCTTGGTGTTCTACCATCTCTTGTTGATGTGGAATGTGATTGTGATATTAATTGATAAGCTATGAATGATGCAGTCCAATTCTTAAAGAATGTTCAAGGATCAAATTTATGGGAAGACGATGTGTATGAGCTTGAATGGATTTTAGAGTGTGATGATGAGTTTGATTATTATGGAGATAGCTTTGGAGATGAAGTGGAGATTTCAGGGGTAAGTGTCAATATTTCAATTTACCATTTGATTCTTTCTCTTCACCTTCTGCTCTTTCCTAATCTTTTCTTATTTTTCAGCCTAAGCTACCTTCTCATGTTCATAATATTTCTTTTTCATTTACAATGCTTTCTTTTCTTGGCACGTCAATCATTTGTAACTCTCATGATTCTCATTCTCAATCTAGTGTTGAGTTGAGTGTTTTCTATCCTCTTCATACTAATGTAGATGTTGAGTATCCATGAAGTTGAGAATCTTGCTTCTGTTTCATTGGTAGAGTCTTTGATCAATTCTAGTGTTGATATTCCTCTGTTCCAAGGGTTGAGTCACTTTGGCTAGAGTTTCAAGTTGAATGCATGTGCATGTCCCTATTTGTGAGTGCCATTGAGAGCTTTTATTTTACTATTGCTACTGAGGAATTTATATATTCCCTTGAAAGTGTGAATGTTGTTATTGATTTTTCTGTATCAAGTATTGAGTTATGTGTTGAGGAATTTGAGTGGTGTAAATTATTTGCTTATATTATGGTGGCCGAAGTATTTTATGATAGGAAGTCCTCTATTTTCCAAGTTTTAAGCACATGTTCTTATAATTTTCCCATTTTTACATTGTCAATTGTTGCAAATTCCTCTTTTGATGCTTCTTTATCCTTTTTTTTTTCTTCCATAATTGTTTTTCCTCAATTTTTCTCATTTTTTCCTTTTTGCCTTAACACTTCAAACTTTTTTTTCTTCAGAGGAGGGGGTAGAGGAGACAGATGGGAGTTTGGCCCCGACGATGGAGTGAGGATGAGTACATATGGTAGTGGAATGAAAATGAATGATATAGATTGTGGAGTGAGGACGAGTATAGTAAATCCGAACAGAATATCTAGCCCTAACGTAATGAAGCCAAATGATAGTGGAATGAGGCTGGATATAAATGGTGGAGTGAGGATGAGCACAACAAGTCCAAATTGAGTTAGTGTTTCAAAACTTTTTTTCTTTCAAGGAGGGGATAAAGAAAATGTGGAGAATGAACTAAATGAAGCCAACCTCCTTAGTTCAACATTATAGTTGTGTGGTTGGTTTAAACATTTGGGAGTTATATACGGAGTCGCAACTAGTTCATTAAAGTTTTGTAGTTGGCTAATGTTTATGCCATGGCTTTAGATTTTATTTCAATCATGGTTATTAGCAACTTTGTTAGTGATTTTTTAGGAGTTTTAGATTCTTGTGATAGTTTATAATCACCTAACAAAAGCTTTAGATATTCCACCTAACTTATTATCATCGCCTTTTTTCATCTTCCAGAGGGGAGGATGGTGTAAAGTTTGTAAATACATGTATGTATATACATGTATTACCCTAACTAGATAATACACTAATTATAGTATTATAGAATATAGACTATTCATTTGGGACAATTTAGTCCATCCATTCTTGTACATAAGCATAGGTCTAAACCCCAATTAATATACTTATTCCTATATCCCGAGCACTCACATAGCTAAATTACATTATTTAATTATAAGTATATAATTTAAAGAGTGATTGTGTGAAGGATATTTGAAAATCAAAACTAAACCATATTAATAAATGAATGTAATAATAATAATAGTAATTTCATGAACCAATCATTCTAACAAAACAAAACCAAATGCCCTGCTGACAAGAATGGTCTTGTTAGATTCTGCATTATTCATTGAACTGGCAAGAACTTTGTTGATTGAACCAAGGTGCCAGGTCTTCCCCTGTTATGTGATTTACTGGATTTCATCTTGAATAAGTAGTGTTCTTTGAGAATATTTGTATATTGTGCGGAAGAGCACCATGTACAAGAAGTTCGTGGCCACGTTCGACAAGGATGAACACTTTGCGACTTCAAGAAGCCGCTTGGTGTCATCAAGACCAGGTACAAGAATGCCCATCAGTGAACGGATTTGAGTTCCAAAAGTTTTGCCAGAGATTAAACAGTTAAGCTTGTTGAGGCAACGTTAACGAGAACTCATTCTGAGAGAAAATGGCGATTTTGAAAAAAAAGCGACTGGTCAATGTGAGGATCCGAGTTTAAAACCCCCCACGAGATACAAGTCTGACTCTCAAGCTGGAAAACGAACGACAGACACCTTAGACAAATATGAACATATGGTCTTACGTACACGGGAAAATCCATATCGCTAAGCTGAAATGCTGTTGCCTGCAAGCTGGAGCCGTACCATGGACCGACCAAGGCCTAATATTGATTATTGTTTGAAGGACGACGTAGTGAAAGACGAGGCAACCAACGCAACCAGCACCGCCATAGTTGAATGGCTGGAGGATGATCTTCGAGCACAACTTTAGTACCTTTACAAACAGCCCTCAATGCAGGTCCTATCAACCAGCTTACAAAAGCACCACCTACAAAACCTCCCAGCTGCAGAAGGGAAAACAAAAACAATCAAACACAAAGAATTTTGAGACAGAAAGGCTTACATGTCCCCAGTTGTCCACTTCATGTGACATCAAACCAAGAACCTGGTTCAACCACGGACTTCAGGAAGAACAGGAGGAGGAAACGAAACTGAGTACCATGTTAAAAGCTACGGTGCGTGAGATTCGACCCAAATTTTCCTGTGCCTTGTTCAGCAATTTCCTGTGCCTGAAGGAGTAGACAGCAAGGGCTCCAATCTGCACCACACAGAGGGTGAGATGCATGTGAGCAGCGTCAGTTCATCAATACCAGGCCACAAATCGCTCCTGAAGCGCCAACTGCTGGTGACTTACACATGAGGAAGCTCAGGCAAGAAGCTGCAACAACGATTTTGAGATGGTTCTGTGTTGTTAAGTCTCGACTTACTAGTAACAGCGGCAACAGCAAACACCACCAAGAACCTCTTGGATCCTCCCAGTGACTCCAAATGTGGACCCAGGGAGTGTACAGAGTAGCAGTTCAACTGCAAAACAGTCCGACTCCATTAACATTCTAGCTAGCGTGCAACTGACCAGGAGGTGTATCAAGTTGACGTGAAGGAAGGCGGGCGTAAGAAGTCTCCAAATCTGGCCTTTTGCAATCAAGTTATTCACCTGTGACGCTACTGAGGAGCTTTGAGCTCTAGCCAACTGATTAAGCCACAGAGTACCTTTGCTCCCCAGAGGATAAGCCGGTTTTCAGTACCGATCACAATATGCGCCATGAAAGCTCTGCATATACACAGATCGATTGTCAGGAAATATCCATCGAAAAACATAGCACTTGCAGTCCGACTTAACATCACATTGGCTGCAAGTATCACATTCGTCCACAACCGTACAGGTGGGGTTTCCTGGGAGAGGCGACTGTACTGGGAATGCATTACCTGAAAACAGTTCCACTGGTAAAATCATAATCTGGAAGAAGAAAACCAAAAAAAAAGAAAGAAATACAAAAAAATTAAATTTGACCTTTGCGTACAGCCCGGATCAGAATGATGCTTAATCGCGTTTTCAATGCGACCGCGGGTAACTTGCAATGAACCTAGATTTTGGGCGAAACTTACAGCTAAGTTGCAAACAAGACAGACACGTACCTGGACATTGGGGATGTGAATCTGATGAATCTTGAAACAATGCTGAGCGCGATTCACCGGTGGCCCCAAAACTTGCGTCCTTGCCATGGGAGTGACCCAGAACCCAAAGCACAGTGTGGATATTCCTTGGCAGGAGTAGAATATTCCTGAACATTCCTTGAATATACCAAATAGAATATTCCTGAACGGGCAAAACTCCATTTTATTGTTTTTACAGCACAAGTGAAATATTATCTCCATTTTGGGATATTTCAACATTCATGGTTCTATCAGTGTGCATCATCGCTGCGCTCTATATATATTCATATACTTAGCAGAACAAAACTTTAAGGCTAATAAATATATATGTGTCTAACGTAATCCTATATGCTTGCTGTTGCAAACTGGTGAACTACAGCCTTAGAGATGCGGCCTTCACAATCGATCTACAATCTGGTGTTGCCACAGTGTGGAAATTGCGCACAGCTTTGAAACTTGCTACGGAGTAGCAAAGGCATGTAAAAATCTGCCTTGAACTTATTTCTTTTATATCATGAATCTTCATGACCTATTGGGTTGCAGCCAAAAAAATTTGATGACTGAAAAGCCCCATTCATCATCACTACTGTCCAGTTGTATATAAAGTCTCTTGTAAATAAGCACACGGTAATGTGTTCGGACAAATTTTACCAATGACACAGTGAACTGGTGCGATACTCGTCTATCACATTATCTACTCAGGTGGAATTTAGTAGTTAGCTTCAATAGCTTTTTGAATTCCCGGAGTCCAGTTCACCTTACTATGGTGGTCCACGTTTTGAACATGGTTGAAATGTCCAAAGTTGTCACTATCTGACTGGAGCCCCAGACACGCCAAGCCCATGTCAGTCACCTTTACTGAAACTGTCAACCTTTTCAGAGTAGAGCTTCAACACTTCAAACGCATAAGATTTTGAAGTTGAACCAAGGTGAATATATAAACCTGAAATTTTTTGTACCTTAAAGCTGTGTACAAATTGCAGCTAATTGCACCAAAATATAATTTGCACAGTGACAATTTTGTTATATTAGGGTACTAGGCCTTGGTTTTTTTCTTGACAGAATCCCACCTCAAGACAAATAGGATGAATGGGGCTTTTCAGTCATCACTTATTGGCTGGTACATCTTTCATACAGCCACATTGCTTACCTTGGCATGGAATCTCAGGCTGCCTCACTAAGTTTCCTTCTGTAATAAGAAGGGAGGGCAAAGGGGACCTCTAACTAAGTTACTTTCTTTGGTAGTGCATAGCTCGACGCATCTCTTGTCTGTCTAATATCCAGAGTCACTCTAGATCCGTAGTGCTAGCGATCATGGGCTCCTACATCTCAATCCACAATAACACTCCGGACACTTACTTGGTGAAGGTTGGCCACGACGAAGCAGCCCTCAGCATTGCAACCATTGTCACTGGTCTAATCGGGGCACTCGCTGCTATCATCGTCAGTGCAGGGGCACTCTCCGGTGTCTCAGCTGCTCTGGTCGCAAATGGGGTGGTGAGCGTGTTTGGCATCTCCACTGGCGCCATAGCCACCATTACGGCGGCTGCTGCAAGCATCAAAGTCATTTCAATCGGCGCCACGGTTGTGGACTGGGCGGCTGCGACAGTTCTCTTCATCACCAACCAGGTGCAGGCTGACGGCGGATATTATGAGATCCTCCCAGGTGAATTCCAAGTCCCGCTGAGCTGCTTGAAATCTGGTGCTTGCAAATGCTAAACTTGTTGAGCTTCTTTGATAATTCTCACAGGGCAGAAGCGGACGTACGGCAGGTATAGTTTGTCGCTATGGCGCCAGGGGACCTGCTATAGGATCCGAGTGAACCCGGACAACCCAGAGCAGGTGATCACCGATGTGGTGTATATGAGGCCAATCTTCAGTGGTGCGACAAATAATTCTGTTCTGGAGCACAACATCCAGCACTGGATCGACAGATGGGGCCATGAAGATCAGCACGTCGTCACTTTGCAGAAGGTCTGGGCATGGAGTCTCGCAAAGTCTCGCAAACCTTGAACTTTATGCTTAAGTTTCATTGTTTCCTTCCTTATGGTGTCTGCAGGAAAATTTTTCCCTTTCCAGCAGGAACATTTCGTTTGTGGATGGCCAGCTGCGAGCGGAGTGTCGGGATTCTAGCTGGCGCTGGCACAATGCTGTCATGGACCTCAACTATTACTACGAGAATATTAATGGCGTTGTCAAGACTGCAAAGAGAAAGCCGGGGAATTTTACGCGGTCGTGCTCCGAGATGGAGCTCAAAGGCGCTAAGATTTTCGGATTGGCAGAGACCGAGGACAAACGGAAGGTCAAGTTTGAGCTGGATCTGGACATTGACATCGCCAACAAGGACGGCAGACTCATATGCAACGACCTCGCTATATAGCTGTGTCGTCTCCGTTTCCATCATGAACGCAAACGAATCCAAGTTAAATCTTATGGTACCAAATAAATAGCAGCGGATTCAGCATATTTATATTTGAGCATTTTGCATCAAGTGCCTCAGTTCCACAAGCTTTCCAACCATATCTAAGCACTGTTAAATAACTGAAATTTGCAAATAAGCTACATGATAGAAATCTGTAGCGAGAGTAATTCATATGTGTGCTATTGTTATAATTTGTATTTAATCTACATTGATAACATTATATCAATTTAAAGAGAACAGCATCAGAAGAAAGCTGAACCAGTTGGTGACTTTTTTGCAATTCCTGGCACGTCGACGGCTTTAGTCGGGGCAAGTGGGCAAGTGAGCTCTGTTATTCACCTGATTTTAAGATTCTACGACCAAGGAACGCCAAATATAAGCTTGGCACACAAAGCCAGTCCCATACTCGGTAGTGGGTACCTGCCAAAAAACAGAGGTGGAGCACAAAGTTGCACACTAAAGTGAAACTTCAAGCAATTTTACCTCCTATGACACCTTATTGTCTGTGCTGTCATGGTTAGTTTGGCTGTTCTAGCTGAGACTGGGAAGATTTTTGGAGATAGTTCAAAACTTTGGCAGGTAATTCAAATGAATGGAATATCCCTATTTTACCCGCCCCGACCTTGTCGGTGTGCATTCGATCGAGAAGCACAGTGCCGCTTTTTTGAAGCTTCCACAAGTACACGGCACTGGGCGTGCCACAGCAAATACGACTGTGTAAGTATTCCGCTGTCCTGCCTACTGCAGTTATTGAAATTAAAGCAACATATATTAATATTCAGACACTCAGATCAATCCAGCAAATCGGCCAGCAAACCACCATTCTCTTACAACACCCTCAAATTCAACTAGAGCCCCAGCGAGAATGGAAAGTTAGTCCCCCCCCCAACCAATCCGAGCCCGAAATGAAGCTACCTGGAGTGTATTTGCTGGCTTCGGCGTAGGAATTCAGCTGTCTCGACCAGCTAACTGTGCTTCCAGTTCCAGAGCCGGGGCCTTTGCATTGATACTCCGCATAGAAGAGGGTCTTCAGTGCGAAGTTTCCGCTCCAAGCAAGCCATCCTGCTGGATCTATGACTGAGATCTCGTAGCATCTCAGGAACACGGTCCTTGAGTATTGCTTCCACGGCCTTCCTAGATAAGTTTGTGTACCACTCTTCTTCAGATCATCCGTCCCATCCAGCGTACAGTCTTGGAAAGCGAGTCCCGTGTTCTGATTCGGATCAGTTCTTCCCTGTGCAGTCAGTGTGTTCTTCTGTTTGTCCATGGGTACGCGGGCCAGAATTGTGCAGCTCTGGAAAACAGCTGCTGCATCCCCAAAGATGAAATCTACGGTTCCATAAACTGTGCATTCCCTGTAGAACTGCCGCATTACGTGAGTGTAAAGTGTATCCTGGTAGCCTTCGAATGTGCACTTGTAGAAAGCAACTTTGACTTCGCTCACGCGAAGTGCCACGGCCTGCTGCTTCGCCGCACCAGCTGTGTTTTGGATTGTCAAGTCTCTACAAAGAAATCCTCGTCCATTAATTTCTGCAAATCGAAAGTCACTTTTAGAAATGACAATATCAAGATCATTGACAATACCCACCAACAGTGGCAGTCCTGAATGTTGTCACTCCGTCTTGAACACTCTTGGACCCAGTAATAATAGTCTTCCCTGCTTCGTCTTCGACTTGGGAACGGAGACCTTCTCTTTGTAAGTTCCTGCTTTGATGTAGATGACATATGTGCTAGCACTCCTGCTAGGAGCAGCAGCAATTGCAGCCGATATCGTGGTATATCGTCCACTTCCATCTTGAGCAACCACCACGTTGGTAACTGCTTTCTCCGGAGGTTTAGTCAGAAACTTTGATAGCTGGTATCGCTGTGAATCAAGTTGGAATCAAAAGATGAATCCAAACTTATTGTAGGCAGAAAAGAAAGGGCGGTGCTTATCGTCTTCTCGATCTTGTTCAGTTCTCGCTTCATTTTTGCCAACACGTCTTTTCCTGGAGACACCTGGCTCAGACCATCGAAGCATGTTGTATGATACGTTAGAGCAGAACTCATCCAGGTATGAATATCCGTGATCCGTGATGAAGTTGCATTCGAAAGGGAGCCACTAAGACAATCTCGGATCAGTTCAGATGCATCTGTGAGCATTTCCGCGCAGTCATCCAACGTATTTTAGCCCGCTTCTTTGACTTGCTAGTCGTCAATTTGGCTTGATCCGCATGTGGACCAGGAATTGCTCCTCCCAACATCTCGGACATCTGAAGTTCTTCGTTCACTCCATCCAGGGCTGCCTTCACAGCGGAGGACACCAATTCAAAGCGACCGGGTCCGCCTCTTGCCACATCTTTTCCCTGCAAACCATATCTAGAGAGCACTGTGATGCAGAATTTGGGGTCTGGAGCAGATTCGTAACAAGCTTGCTGGTACGATTGTGAGCTAGCCGTAGCCTGGCTTGTGAACCAGACAACTGCAGCAACCCATGCTGTAAGAAATGATGTGTAGCACAGAGGCGTCAGCTGACAATTCAGAGACATGGATGTGCTCCTCCAGGCAACTTTGAGTCCGGTTTATAACACCCTTGGCACTTAATATGACCAACTTCCAACATTTCAAGCAAGCTTATCCTTCGCTTCAGTCCAACCGTGCGAGATCTGTTAGGGGACCATACTTGCATGTGTCTGAAATTTTTTCCTCCCCCTGACATTCCTTTCTTCATTTTCCCTGCCACGAGATGGAGATATGCCACTAAACAGCACTCTCAAGCGCAAAGTTACTGTGACTTATTGCTACCAACCATCTCTCGGAGATACCACACGTTGAACGAACCACCGTAACAGACACGCGAGAACGAGCACATGTTTCCCTGCTATTGCCGTGAACCTACAAAACTACAATCTACCTGTAGCCTGTCGTTGGCAGTAACAAAATTCTGGTCGCTCATCAGGATTTGCTTGCCAGCATCTTTCCAATACTTTTGAACGACGGCAACTGCGGGGCGTAAGATAATCATAAGGCAGCTGCGTTAAGCATGGACTTCATGAGATCGATTTTGTGACTGGAAATAGACATACTTTGCCCGTCAAAAGTTACCATAGCACTATGCCAGGACTGAAGATGTCAGCTTTTTGGTCATACAGCTTATGCTCGATGACCTGATCACGAACTTTCAATCGTTCATTATACAAAAACGGCTGAGTTTACCTCCGGTGTCATCCAGCGATAAGTCTCTGTTTCTGCGGTCATTATGCGTACAACCACAAAATCTAATAACCTTCAAACATAACATATCAAGATATCTCTGCCGAACCTCGTTCTCATCCTCAGATTAGCTGCTTTGAAATCCCTACGAAGAATGTTGTTTTGATGTCGATAATCCATGCCCTTGGACACGTCGATACCAAGCCTGAGCACTAGAGGTAACTTCAAAGCTGACCGATGCTTGTGCAGGTAGTCATAAAGACTCCCCCCAGACAAATATTCTGAAAAGCAGGAAATCACACAACCATTGGCAACGACCTTACCTGTAAGGCTGTAACTATGCACAAATCTGGTGGCATTAAAACAGTAAATGATACCGTAGGCTGAAAACTTCCTGCGCAAACTCTTTTTGCAGGGCGTTCCCGCTTTGAGACCTTTATTGCGACATCTTACCCACAATATGTACCTCGATACCTGTACAACAACTCGTCGATACTCATCAACCTAAAAAAGAAAGAGACCAGCTTACAAATGATCCAGAAGCGACCTTGTGCGGTAGCCTGAGTGGTCACTGTCAATTTCCCAATCATCCTTGCCATCAAAAGGAATTTTCAGATGGCCTTGCTTGCGTAGACCATTTGAATGCAGATTGGGCTTGATCCAGGCCTCTTTCTGCGACAGCAAACAGTAATTACGATTCATGAGCACATTGAAAATACGTGATGCCTCAAACGCTCCAATGCAGATTGTAAGCCTTCAGTATCCTACTGAAATCAGAATTAGAGCCTCATGATATTACAGGGAAAAGAAGCAACATACCTCGCATGACCATCCGTCTACAACGAAAACATCAAGTGAGTACCCATCGCATGTAGAAAAGGCGTGTGCTACTTGGATATTTAGTTCTACGACTAAGAAGCTTAGGCTTATCGATCGTTGAGATTGTCACCTCGTGCATGCAAAATCCGAGTATATCCACAGCTGAATAAAAACTGGTGAGGCTGTTATAAAATAGATGTAGGAGGACATACCTCGGCGAATTGTTCGCATCACTCTCTCGATCATTGTTAGTTGTTGAGGTCGGCTAAAGCTCCAAGTTAGGAGATCAACCGAAAGCAGGCGGTGGATGGACACTTCAACCACACGAAAATTCAATCACTTACTGCAAGAAGAAGAAAATCCAAAAGCTTACAGTGGAGATTCTTTCGACAGGCGCCGGTATCAATTCATCCGATCTCTGTTGTACCTAGATGTCATCGTTTCGGAAACATGAGTATCTGAATAAAAAAAAGACTCATACCAAGAGAACTGCGGGCTCAATTGAACAACTCGGACATGGAAAACGGATCTGACGTCGGGATTCTCAGCTATTTGCAGCAATCCGAAGGAGAGCGTTGTCAAGTCTTTTTGTATTCACATCCAAAGTATACCTGTGACCATCAATAAAATCAGCTCCAATATCTAACTTGAATCGAAATTTCATCTCGTGAGCAACCGGTTAAAATGCGCTTGCAACTTTTCTGCGAATCCCGGATTCTGCTTGGAGTACTAGTCGCTTCATAATTTCTGCTTCGTCTAATAGCTCTTGGGAAGTAGTCACTATTCCGAATTGCAATTGAGCTGATTTGGCTTATGTTTCCTGCAGATGAGCACCAAAGACTCTAAAGAGTTAAAATAATGGAGGACCGTCAGCTCGCTGATTGCCAATCAGCGAACGATCCGAAGAACAGTTGAACTACACAATAGAGATCAGGGTGAAGATTGACAACTCTGCATTGTTGGTTCCAACCAAAAACAACTCACAGGCGATCGACCGGGACTAGGCGATGCGGACACTTCCAGTATTCGATGCAGAGAAAGACGCCATCGCCTGACATCCTTCAGGACGATCCAACGCCCTAGAACGCGATCCAACACAGAAAATGCAAGCTAGAACCCTTCGCAAACCGCAGCCGTCGATCTTTACAAAATCCAACGGTGCTGAGTTGGCTGTTTATGGCAC